GGCCCGCGATGCACCCATCGCTTTGCTTGACCGTCCCCCGTGCCCGCGGCTAAGCTCTGTGCCCTCCGTTGGGGGCGCGTTCAGCAGCCGTTTCTTGGCGCCATGGCAGCGCCGGGCAGGGCCGTGAGCGCACAGAGGGCGGTGCGTTCTGGGGCCGGGGTCCCACGGATCCGCCCGGGCGACTGGCGCCATGGCAACGGGAGTCAGGCAACTTGGGGCCTGGCCGTGACTGCAAAGGGGACGGTGCGTCTCCTCCGTGCACCCAGCGCCCTCGAATCCTATAGCCTGCATGAAGTCGGGAGTGGCCTCAAGGATACCTTTGCTTCCATACCTGCATTTGTTCATTCCGCAAATACTTGTGTCGTGCCTAATCTGTTCCAAACACAGTTAGGAGCTGGGCAGGGTGGGGAGCAAGATCCCATCCCTGACCTCCTCAGTTCATAGTCCAGTGATCAAGATGGAAAAAAACAAAAACAAAAGGAGAAATCACACTAATAAATATTCAGGTACAAACTCTGATGGGTGCCGTGAACAGGGTATAGGAAATCCAGGAGGCCTCCTTGAGGAGGTGACCCTTAGGCAGAGGCCTGAAGGACGGGGAATCAGTTGAGGAGGTCAGTCAAGGCTGAGGCAGGAGAGAGGAGGGTATTGGCCTCTTGCAGAAAGTACAGGACCTGGGGAGAGTGGTGAGAGATCTTGGGTGGCCAGGGGCCCACCGAGGTCCTCAATCAACTGCCATGGAAGTTGAGGATTTATTCTGAGGATTGTGGGAAGGTGCTGGGCAGTTTCAGGGAGGGCTACTACCCTGACCTAATCCCATTTCTGTTTTGCAGATTCCTCTGGAGAGTGGATGTCCTGGGTGCGAGTGAGGAGCACAGGCATTGGGGGAGGATGGACTCTTGTAGTTGTCCCAGTGAGAGGATGAAAGGGGTTATGGAGAAGGAAAGAAGTGGAAAGAATCTAGGTTGCTGGGGGTGTGGAACAAGGGTTGTTAGTTAGCATAGGAAGGGGGTCTCTGCATCCTTCTAGGTCCCTGGCTGTGAGTTAACTGGCCCTTCTCCTGTTTCTCTCCTTTGTCTTCCAAGGAAGCAGGATCTCTTCCACCTTGGGCCCTACCAGGCCAGCGGCCCCACTGAGGTTGGCAGGAGTATGACAGCTGGGCTGAAGGCACTTTGCAAAAAGCAGGCCTATGTCAGCATTGCTCACTGCTTGGGCCAAGACCAGGGAAGGTTTGAGGGCTTCAGAGAGAGCTGCTGGTCAAACAGATACACAAAGGCCTTTTGTTGAGGCCAGGGTGGTTTCCTGGAGGGATGCCCTAGAGGCTCACCTCTCCCTGGAGTGTATAGGGCAGTGGAAGTCCCAACACAGAGGTGGTGGCCCCAACAGCAGACAAAACCACTGCATACCAGGGTAGGATGGGGCCCCAGAAATCTCCCTTATAAGGAAGCAGTTCAGCGTTGTGGGGCACCTGGGCACACCCTCTGTCTGGGGACTCTAGGGCCTTAACCTTCACTGCCCCCACCCCCCAGTTAGTGGGGGAATGGTCATTCCTAATCTCAGAGGCTTTGTTTGCAATAAACTATGATAAATCATAAATTTGGAGGTGACTCTCAAAACAGTCCTGGTCACCACCTCCCCATCCCCCAAATGCTAGTGACTACAGATGGACCCTGTTCATCCCATCCCAAATCTCCCTACCACAGGGGAACCTACAGGGTGAGTCTGTGGTCTCTCCCCAACACACACAGAAAAAAAAAGAAACCTTACAATATTTAACACAAATTTCCTCCTCTGTGACTTGGGGACATGAAATAACCTTTCCTGCTAAGTGAAAATTAAGCCAAACAAAGGACTTCAAGCCCTTAGTGCTGGGTCATTCTTTCCTGGTGACAATTGCAGTCACCGCCCCAGGGAGTTCAAAGACAGAGCCAAGGGGCACACCCTGCAGGTGGCTCTTTCCGGTCACTGCTACATGGGGCGTGGGAGGGCAGGGAGGGTTGGCCAGGCCTGACGGGGTTTGATGGCTCATGCTTCCCCTCCTCCTCCCAGACTCCAGCAGCAGAGCCTCAGGCAGCAGTCCCAGCCCCTCCCACCAAACCCTGTGCACCTGTCCTCCCACCCAGATCTAGGGGTGCGGTGAGGAAGCTGTGAAGGACCCAGTCAGGGGCAGGGAAGTGCCGCAAACACCTGGTGGGTCTGGGGCATTGCCGGGGAATTCCAAACAGCCTTCCTGGTGCCCCAGGGGGTACTCCCCTCCCCACGCAGGCAGGGAGGCAGTAGGACCCTTGGCTACACCTGGCAGACTCCAGAAGCCCGTGACAGAGTTCTGGGAAGGCCATAGCAATGGCAGGCCACCGACACCCAGTGTCCGTGAGCGGGGCAGCTCTGGTGCAGACAGAGAAGCTCCAGGTAGGAACCAACGGGGATCCCTGACGGCCCCAAGAGGGAGGGAGGGAGTTCCTGGCTTAGTCCCTCCATGGTGTCCCCCACCCTTTCATCCCACAGACATTCGCCTTCTCTGTGAACTGGTCGGATGACAGTGACACCTTTGCACGCAGAAGCTGGGATCAGTTCAGAAAACTCCATGTGAGTGAGCCTGGAGCGACCCCAACTTCCCCCAACTGCATGACCCAGCAATGACCGCCCCTCTCAAGTGCCTGCCCTTGGGTCCTCCAGCCCCTAAGATCCTGGCAAGGGACCCCCACCCTCCCAGGGGAACCCAGTGGGCCCTCAGAGACTGAGATGCCCATTCTCACCCTCAGAAGACCCTCAAGGAGACCTTCCCAGTGGAGGCGGGCCTGCTGCAGAGATCAGACCGCATTCTCCCCAAACTTCCTGGTCAGCCAGCAGGGGTCCCAGGAGGGGTGGGAGTGGCCGCGGTCTGATGTGGGGAGCCCTAGGGCAAGGTCCCAGTCTGTCCCTATCTTGCCCACAGATGCATCCTTGTTGGCACACTGGGGGCGCACGGGCCGCGGCCTGGTGCGCCTGCGGCTGCTGGAAACCTATTTGAGGGCGCTGCTGGTTGCGGGGGAGCGTGTGTCCCGCAGCCCGGTGCTCACTGGCTTCTTTGCGCCACAACCTCTGGACCTGGAGCCTGCGCTGCCACCGGGCAGGTGCCTGACCCACCCCCAACTCCCTGCCGGCAGAAACATTTGGAAGATGGGGGAGGTGGGGTGGATTAAGGGCCTGTTAGGAGGGAAGGCCTGGAGGCTGGGTGGACTCCTGAGGGATGGCAGGCCAACCCCCAATCTTCCCACTCAATCACCTCTCATCTGCACCCTTGGCCCTTACCAGCCTGGTGATACTGCCTGCCCGGGAAGAGCCCCTACCAGGCCCCAGGGGCAGCCCTGCCAGCTGCAGTCTGGGGGCTCCGAGTCTGCGCTGCCTGCAGCCCTTCAGCACCCAGGATGCGTGGGGCCAGCCCTTCCAGGCTCAGGCCCAGGAGGCCCTTAACGTGCTGCTGCGACACCCCTCAGGTGGGGCTGGGCAGGAGTCTGGGGACTCGCCCTTCTGCCCCCTTGGATCCCAAGGGGCCTCAGGATCTGAACCTCTACCCACCTCTTGGGCACAGGCTGGTGGCTGGTGGCGAACGAGGACCAGCAGATGGCATGGTTTCCTGCTCCCTACCTGGAGGAGGTGGCCCCGGGCCAGGGACGAGATGGGGGACGGTCCCTAGTGAGCAGTGGTACGAGACTAACCCTCCTCCCCACACCCAGCACCACTACTGGGCAGTGTACATCACGGGTGGACCACAGGGAGCACTCAAGCCAGGGGATGACTAGGTGGCGAGAGTAGCCCTGTAGTGTGACTAGTCCCTCTAGTGAGCCACCACCCCAGGGGGTTTTACAGTGGTCCCTGGTGTCTGCAGAGATCCAAATGGGGAGAGCCTGGAGGTGGTGATTCAGCAAAGGGGGGGGGGTACGGACAGGTGAGGCCCTGGCCTCTGTGGCCCCCATGGTGACCACAAAACATCCACTCCAGGGCCCCAGTTCTGTGCTTCCCGTGCCTTTGAGGGCAGCCAAGCTGATGAGCTGTCAGTGCCTGCAGGGGCACACGTGTGTGTGCTGGAAACGTCCGACCGCGGCTGGTGGCTGTGCAGGTGTGTGTGGGGGCTTTGGTGGGGGTGGGGTGGGGTGGGGGTGCCCAGTCTAGCTAACCAAACTTCATCCTCTTCACAGATTTGGTGGCCGCACTGGTCTTCTCCCGGCTGCAATACTGCAGCCAGACGGGCTGGGCACAATCCTTAGTGGGCCATGGCTCCACCTCGGGGCAGATGGTGGGGAGGACAGAGAGGGAGAGGTCCGAGACTTCCCCAAGTGCCCCCAGGCCAAGACCCTTCCCCCTACTGTGCCTGCCCGACCACCACTGAGTGCTATTCAGAGCCGGTGCTGCACCATCACCCGTAGGGCACTGAGGAGGGACCCAGAGGGTCAGGGACCTTTTTGAGTGTGTGGAACCTGGTGGAGGGCTGCGCTGTGCACCCCATAACTGGAGCGGCAGCCCAGAAGCTCCAAACTCCAGGTTTGACTGATAGCAGCCACATCAGCCCCAGGGCTGTGGGAGGAGCACTTGACCCCAAGTGGGTGAGGCCAGGAGGCTACACCCCGCCTTGTCCTGAGTAAAGAACTCCTGATGGACCCACACTGCTACAGTGTCTGTGCTGAGGGGCGGGGCCTGCTGGATCTCAGCCAGGCCAGGGGTGGGGATGGAGCTGGCTGGAGGCCAAGACCTGGGGTGAGACAAAGCTCAGACAGACACAGCGTGCCGAGATGGCAAAGTCCATCTTTCTGCATGTTCAGAGGGCAGAGGGGGCCACGGGGAGGGGGGGCAGCTTCATGTTGTGCCACAGGAAGTCTAGGAAGGTGGCCGCCTGCAGTGTCCGGCTGAGCCGCTGGAAGTGCCGCTCTGGGGGAGAATGGAAAGCTGTCAGGGGTCCATGGAGGCCAGCTGGACTCTTCCTGCCCCGACCTGGGCTGTGCCCACGTACCGGTGTAGGGCAGCAGGGCCTCAAGTGAGGCCTGAACACCCTCATAGGCCAGCAGCTCTTCAGGGGCCTCATGCCGCAGGAGCACGCCTAGCACAGCCTGGGCTTCATGGCAGTGCCGTGAGTTGGTGTTCCATGTGACACAGAAGCGCAGCAAGGCCTCTGTGGGTGGCAGGGATGGTCAGACCTGCCTGCTGGGCCACTGCCCCTTACTAGCCATCATCCAGCCCCTACCTGCCCACCCCGGACCTTTCTGGTCTCGCCGCAGTCGGAGCACCGTGGCTTCCAGCTTCTCGCAGGACTCAGGGTCCTTTCGGATGGCTGTGGGAGGAGGGGAGATTGAGCCCCAGGGAAGGGACACCACAGATCTGAGACTCCCTCCAACCCTGCCCTTCCTGTCCAGCCCCTGAGGCAGCACTGACCCTGGATCACGGTCAGCACCGTGTGGGGCCGGTCCAGGGAGATGGCGAGGCCCAGTGCCCGCAGGTACCGCTTTTCATGGAGCAGATTGTCCAGCTCTTGCTGCCTGGTGGGGGAAGGAGGGAGGACAGGGGACAGGGCCACTGGGAGACTTGGCTGGAGCTAAAGGCAGAGCCATCAGGGGTCTGAAGCCTGGAGCAGAACACCCACTGGTGGAAAGCTGTGTTGCTGGTCCAAGCCTTGGTTCCCACAGGCTATAAAGAGAAGGGAAGCCTGTGTGCCCTACTCCAAGGGGCTGACACTGATGCATGGGACTCCCAAGCAGGGCCAGGTGGAGACCCCCGGACTTACTTGACCACCTGCTCCTCTCTCTTGGCCTGCTCCTCTGCCTGCTCCACCTCGGTCACATCCTGGGGTCAGAATGGGGTCAGCAGGCAGGCCCATGCTGCCTTGCCCATTTTCCACCCCCACCAGCTCATGCACCTTCCAGAGGATGATGCAGGAGTCACTGGCGCCAGTGAGGGCGCGGTCATCCAGCCTACTACAGTGCAGCCCCCAGATCTTGTCCTCGTGGGCGTCCAGTGTCCTCACACACTCGTTGTTCTTGATGGTCCAGAGCTTCACAAGCCCGTCAGAGCCACTGGGTTTGGGATTGGGAGAGGGCTCAGCCTTGGGGCCTGCCCCCCAGCTCACCCCAAGTCCCACCCCGCCCTCAGCCCACTCACCTGGACAGCAGCTGGGTACCGCGGCTCACAAAGGCCACCTTCAGCACAGAAGCGTCATGCCCCTCAAAAGTCTGCAAGGTGGGGTGGGGGAAGGTGTGAAATGCCAGTGGGCAGAGGGCCTCGCCTGGGGTGAGGGCACCTTACCTTGAGGCAGCTGAAGTCCTGCAGCGCCCAGAGCTTGACTGTGCCGTCAGCTGAGGCTGTGGCCAGCACCTGGTCCATGGGTGAGAACTGAACACACCAGAGGCCCCGTCGGTGGCCTGAGAAGACTCCCAGCAGCTGGCACTGTGGCAGGGCCCAGAGTTTGGCTGTGCGGTCCTGTGACCCTGTGGCCAGCAGCTTGTCGTTGGGGGCAACAGCCACACTGTTGATGTCCTGGTGATGCGAGGGGGCAGCAGCTCAGACCCCTGTCCCAGCAGGGGCCTCACCACGCCCCACCTGGTGCTGTGAGCCATTACCTTGTCATGGCAGCGCTGCGTGGCCTGGGCCTGGAGGAGGACAGGGCCCCCAACTGGGACTGAGCCTGGGGACGGCAGGGCTTCGGGGAGGGACCACAGCTTCACTGTGCAGTCCTGGCTGCCTGTCACCAGGAAGGTCTCCTTCAGCCTAAGGACCGATTTGGGGGACGGGGAGACACCTGCTGAGCCCTGGCTGGCCCTGCCTGCCAGTGCACCATAGTTCAGGCCTGCCAGACCTTGGTCCAGACCAGAAAGACAGACTGTCTCCGAAAGGGAACTGCTCATGTCAGCCCTATACACCTCTGGGACCACTTGCCCGCCCTCAAGCCTGCTCTGCCCGCCCTCAGTGCTGTCATACCAGGCGACTGGGCTCCAACCATGAGACCTCCAGCCTTAAACAGTACCTTCTCCACCTGGGCCTTGCTCAGTGTCACCTTCCCCGCTGTGACACCCCTCCCCTTTTATCCACCCAGCCTCAAGGCCACTTCCAAGGAACCCCCAATAATGGCATGTAGGGGTGCCCCTGTTCTCCATTCCATATCCCTGGAGACCCAGTGAGCAAAGGCCAAAGCCGCCTCCTTCTCCTCCCATCTCCTTAAGCTGGAGCCCCATCAGCAGGGCCTGGGCCTCTGCCACCATGACACGCTGGACCCAGCCCTGAACTGCTACCTCGAGCAGCAGATGGTGCCCACGCTGTGTGTGTGCCCAGAGCCCTGAGCCACACAGGTGACCTCACCAGCCTTGTTCATCTTCCAGACGCGGATGCTCTGATCCTGGGGATGGGAGGGATGAGGACAGAGGCTGGGCTGGGCTTCCCCACCTGGGCACCTGTACCCTCACCTCTTATAGTGCCTCACCTTGCCACAGCTGGCAAAGAGCCACCCCTTCCGGAAGACATCTAAGGCCAAGACGATGTCTGGGAGAAGGTGGAGGGGGAGTGGTTAGAGATCAGTTATGGCAAGCGGGGGCAATCCAGTCCAGGATGAGGTCCTGGGGGCACTGGCCCAGTGCCCTCACCTGTGTGGCCATGGAGAATCTGGCAGGCTGACGTCTGCAGCTCAAACACTTTTAGGCAGGGGCTGTTAGAGGCCACGACAATGTGGGAGTCCTCAGGCCCGAGGAATCGAACGTCCAACACCTCCTCACTGTAGCCAGCAAACTAGGGGTGGGCGAGAGGGACACAAGTCAGGGACCGAGTGGGTGGAGGGCTGGCATCCCCAGGCCTATGGGCTGAGCAGGGGCAGCACTCGCTCACCTGTTTCTGGAGCTGCAGGGAGCGGGCCTCGTAGAGCAGCAGGTTGTGGTCAGCAGTGACACTGAGGAGCAGGCCAGCGGCTTGGGCCAGGGTGCAGTGGGTCAGCTCCCGCCCAGGGCCTGGCAACTGCTGTTGTGTATGGACACACTGCCCAGAGGCTGCCTCCCACACGCGCAGCATGCCTGTTTGGGGACATGGGCTGCTAGGACTCCAAGGTCCACAAGCCTCCTTTGGCCCCTGCTGCCCACCCTGGCCGAGCCCCACACACCTTGGTCGCCAGCGGTCAGGAAATGCAGGCCCGGGGACTTCACACCCAGCTCAGGCACCGGCTCCTCTGGCAACAGCACTGCAGCCTCTACACTCTGAGGACAAGTGGGTCAGAGGTGGCAATCCTGTCCCTCACCCTACCCCATTCACTGGCCCTGCTGCCCCTACCTCAAACACTGGCACAGTCCTCATGGCCTGGAGGCTGTGCAGGTCCCAGACAATGCAGATCTTGTCACGGCCCGAGCTGGGGGAAAACAGCCATCTCAGTTCCTGGGTCTCAGCTGTGGCCTTCCCTTTCTTGCCAAGGCCTGGGTGGCTGGTCACTGACCTGAGCATGGTGTGGCCGTCGGCACTGAAGGTCAGAGAGGTGACAGCACTGTAGTGGGCAGTCAGCACGGCCAGGCACGACCGGTCCTGCAGCGACCACACCCGGATGGCGGTGTCTGCAGCTGAGGAGAAGAGTAGCAGGCGTGCGGGTTCCGGGTGGAAGGCCACCAAACTGCAGGCAGGTGGGGTGGGGCTGGTGAGCTATGCTACCCTGACCTTGATGCTCCACCCACCCAGCCTCTGCAGCCTCTACTCACTGCACGACACCCTGTGAGCCCCGAAAGTGGTGTGTCCCATAATGCCGCACGATGTCCCAGACACGCACAGCCCCGTCACAGCCACCTGTCGGAATGTGTTTGAAGTGGGGAGAGGGCTGGTGTGCCCAAAGCCCCCTGCCTGGTTCCAGCCAACCCACCCATCCAGCAAGGTCCTACCTGTGGCTAGCAGTGTGGAGGTGGGGTCGAAGGCCATGGTGGCCACAGGGGCTGTATGTATCGCCTTCCACAGGCGGGTGATGCTGCCCTCTTGCCAGGCCCACTGAACCAGCAGCAGTGCCCGGCTAGCTGTCACCAGCACCTGGGGGAAGATGCAGTTCAGCTGGGGGTTGAGGCATGGACGCTGTCCTCATCAACTCAGTTTGCTTGGGATGTACTGGAGCCCACCTCCTGTCCCTGTTCCATATACCTCATTATCAGGACTGAGGTCAAAGGCAGTGATGTCCTCCTGATCCTCCTGAGGGTTGAGAGTAGACATAGAGCACCAACCATGAGACAAGGCTGCCCTCCACACCAGTCCCTCACACCAACCCTCTCAGCCCTCACCTGCTCCAGGCTCCGCAGCACAGCCCCTGAGGCCACATCCAGGATGTTGACTCTGGTACCACAGACGCAGAAAAGGTGCTGCCCAGTCTCATCCAGCTGGTGACAAAGGGGTCTCAGCCAAGGTAACACTCTGCAACCCCTGCCTCACCCTGCCAACTCTGCCCCTCCCTGGGCTGGTACCTGCACCTTCCCGCCCTTGTAGAAAGGCTCGATCTTGCGCTCGACAGCATAACTGGAGGGAAGACAGAAGACAGTGAGGTACCCAACCCTTGGTCCCCAGTGCCAGCTCTATACTAGGTGCTTTCCCAGAGGTCAACCCAATAGGGACCTGCCCTTGAGGAGTTTCTGGGCAGCAGCAGGGATGCAGGGGACATGGGGGAGAGAGGCTCATGAACTCTTCTGTTATCTTCTTTAATCCTCTCAGCTACACTGTGAGGTGGGTGTTGGTATCCCTATGTTACAGAAGATTTGGGACCCTAGCTGGACACTGACACACACCAGTCCCAGGGCAGCACAGGCAGTCCAACAGCCCAGTCTTCTCAGAGATTCCCCACTACCGAGCAGGCCAGGCCTTGGGGGCCCCCTGCTGGCCATGGGAGGCCAGGCCTGGGTACCAACCCAGAGTAGCATCCTCTTCAAGATCTTCATCCTTGAGGTCCAGCCCGCCTCTTCCCTAACCCTGGCTCCTTCCTCCATCCCACTCTCCAAGCTGCCCTCATTTCGGTGGCATCATATGTCCTCTCCACTCCCTCTCAGCTACTTCCATGCTGGTCCAGGCCACTGCACTCTCCTCTCTGGTCAGTTGCTCCAGCCTCTCCACCAGGTCTCTACCACTCTCTCAAACTCTGCTCTCAGAGAAGCTGCTCAGAATATAACTCTGTTTATGTTGCCACCCTGCCTTCAAACCCTCCCCTCTCCTTACTTGTTTACAAAACCCTGCTTGGAGAAGCCTCTGCTGACCTTTCCCATTCACACAGGCTATTTCCTGCCTGTGACCTGGGCTTCTCCTCCCGAATTTCAAAGGTGCCTGGCTAACTCTACTGGAAGAAGCCTGACTAACAAGGTGAAATGGAGCACCCCCTCAACCTCCAAACCCAGTCAGCCATCCCAGCACCCGAGCTTCCCCTTGCTAGCGCTTGTCACAGCCACTGATGGAAATTATTTGCTTTAATACGTTTATCCCATCAGACTGCGCTCCATATGGTTAGGCGGCGTCTAACTTCTCTTCCTGCTCCCTGGAGAAATGGGACAGCAGGTCGCCCAACCTAGGCGTAGTGGTTTTTTTCTCTACCCCTAGGAGGTGGGGTGTCCCCTCCCAGGACCAGCCTCGACGGTGCTCAGCCCGCCCCTTCCTCCTCCTCTAGGGTTTTTCGTTCTCACCCCCAAACCCGTCCCAAGTTTAAGTAACCCGGCCGCGCTCCAGTGCCCGCCGTCCGCGAGAGCTGTCAGTGCAGCCTCTTCCACTTTGTAATATCGCAGCCGCCACGACCGCGCGGACCTGTCGTACGCAACCCTCACCACCTCCCCAAACCCGAATGGGTGCCGGAGCCACGCGGACGCCTTCGCTACTCCGGCTGCGAGCCCGGCTCCCTTCCCGGGTGGCGGCTTACTTGGACTTCGAAGCGGCCCACTCCGGCCGCGGGCTCCGCCATGTCGCCGCTGCCGCCGCCGCGTGAGGGAGACCGGCGCGCCACTCCGCACGGTCCTGC